GATGTGCATCCCACACATGCACCAATAAACGCCGCAGTCCTCCGCTACAGTTTGATGGAGCTTTAAATACTCGGCTTGTGCACAGCAAATGTTAGGAGCGCTACATGAGATATACAGGCCGCATACTTGGTGAATATAGGCCAGAGGGGGGGGGGGAGTGAGCAGGATACTTTACGAGCTAAATTAAACAGACAACTGTTACAGGCCGCGGCTTTAACGGCTTATTTTAGCTCCTCCTCGGAGACTGAGATGCGTACGCAGAGCTGCACAATACCACTCATGACCACAAATGGAGCTCGCTCTTGGCACGATTTCAAGGCTCACGTGCGCCCGCGCCGTGCTGCGACGATGGATACATGACCATCAAGATGTAAACATGCCATGCGATGTGATCAGGGAAGAAGTGCAGAACATCTGACAAAGGAATACTTACAACATTCTTTAACAAAGACGAGCCGTACATCACGGCTAAGTGAGCTTGTGAAAGCCAGCTGACATCTAAATAGTGCTTCACAGAATGAATAATTAATGTTTTAAAAGTTTAGAGTAGGACGTAGGTTACTTTGTGATGTTGACATTACGCTTGTTTTACATTAAATCTTAAAGACGCTGATGGTCTCCACTCAACATAGAGCATGCACAAACTATTTTTCACAGCTAGTTCGTTTGTTTTGTTTGCAGCTTAGTTAGCGGTCTGGCTCTATGGGGAGAACAGTGAATGGGTCATCATCATGCAGAAAAGATACAATGTAAGGACCGGCAGGAAAAACTCAAATAAGGTCTGAGAGATAAAATCAGCTGTTTGCATGCAGCTGTTTTTCTAAGATTTATTTTTGTGCCTTTTGGTTGGATTTGAACCCTGGTCCCGCATCGAGGACTACAGCCTCAGTACATGAGGGGTGCAAGCTAACCACTTGGCCACCGGCGACACCATGTTTTAGGAGTTTTTAGGGAGTTTTGTGCAGGTGTGAACAAGGCTTTTTGTGATGTCACTGATCCATTTTCTTCTGCTCGTTAAATGCAATGTCTGTATTTTTGTGTGTCTCAATTCAATTCAAACAACTTTATAAATCCTCGAGAGGTAATTGCTTTAGAGCAGCTCATACATAAAACAAAGTAATGTGCAGGCAACAACAACTGATTTATACGAGCTATGAATATGAAATAGGACCTCAAAAGAATATTGCTATTTAAATGACTGGATGTGGGTTAGAGGATGATGTGGTGCTATCATCAAGTCTGTATCAGTTGATTTGATAGCAAATGAATATGAGATTGATAAAGATGTCTACGGCTGGCTTCACACTAGACAATCTTCAAATCTTAACTGATTTTAAAAACATGGGTGACCACAGACATGAGGACAGTCTCAACCGATCTTACACATTGTAATCATCAGAACGCACAAACTCGATGATTCGGCAAAACCACGAGACCACACACCTGACGTTTGTAGAAACAATTTCACAGACACCTGATCTCAGAGTAACTCAAGTGATCAAACTCGACTTCAGAAGGAAAACAAACATGGAGGACGATCGACGTCGTCAGCTGACTGACCTGGCGTGCGTTCTTTTTTGCAGCAAAAAAACTAAAATCTAGAAAAAGGTGAAATCCTGGAGGAGGAAACGGTATAGGAGCTTTATGTTGGTGAGATCAGAACATCTGGTGGCTGACACTTCCTGGTCTGCGCGCTCTCATTGGCTATTGCTGGGATTCCGTCAAAGGCAGCTCGATCAGGCTCGGGGCAGAAAAGTAATCGTTTTGACACCACACACTTATTAGAAACCAGCCACGCCCCCTGATTGAAGGGGGGCCAAATCAGGCCTGAATTCCTCTAGTGTGTAACACCTAAAATAATCTAATCAAGTCTTCCTGGCTGCACTGGCTACTCTTCAACTTTCCATACTCGAAGAGCTTTTTCCATCCTCGATGCCACGATAAAAATAGTCTGATCGCTGAGGCGTCCAGTTGAACGTGGATGAATATTTCAAACCTGCAAGTTATTTCACCGCCGCTGTGACTCAGGAACGACAACTCAGCCACACCGGAAAACATGCATATTATTCCAAATAAATTAATACAACACATCCAACTGAAGAATTTCTACTCAAAGCTGCTGGATGGTTGTTTTTTGTTCAGTGACTCATTCCCTGCTCGTACACTGCACCTCTGTGTCATCTGGACCCCGAACGATCAATCAGTCATCATCGCTGCTCGGAACAGTTTTTTCCCTCCAAACTGAGAGGTACAACTGAAAAAAAAGACCAGCGTAGAGTTTATTTAGCTAAAAATAACCAAACAAAAACCATCTGGAGGGCCGGTATGCTGTGAGGCAAAGCCAATGAAAACATATTTAAAATGATCAACATGAGAGACTTGCATAATTTCTGTAGGAATTACACTTTTCAGATTGAGCTATTAGCTTCTGTTTTCTCTCTGAATAACTCCCTGTTTTCTCAACACTACATGATTTAGTGAGTGGCTCCAGCTCTCGTTTCTTACTCGACTCAGATGGTTAAAAATTGAGCATGGCTGATTGAGTCCTGTAGCTGCATGAGCAAATAAAACCTGAACCATGCTTTAATAAGTTTAGCTGCAAATCTGAGGCCCTTTAGAGTGTTTTTTTTCATTTATAATGACAACAAATGAGGTCGACAAATGGTCAGAGGAGTTACAAACTCCGCTCAGAATAGCACATGGCCTGCTTCCACCCTGGCCCTCATGCATCACGGCTTGAGCAATCAACCCTGACGCGAGGGTTTTTTTCCATCAGCAGCGCCAAGCGTGCAGCTCCAGTTGACACAACAGCAGCACCAGAAGTTCCTGCTGTGACGCGAGGCTCAGTGCTGCGTTTTCACTGCATGTTTGGAGCTGAGCGGGGGGGGGTGGGGGGGCGCGTTATCCCTCGGGGATGTAGTGGAGAAACCAGCTGGTTTCCATTAGCATACCTCTTCTAGGGGAATGGGTTGGACTGGCTCATGTGGGCAGACGCATGAGGAAGATAAACGATCCCGATTGGTCAAGCTAGACTAGACCTGCTCTCAAGAGCGGAGCCAGATCATCTGTGATTATGGTGATTCTTCTTCTCTCAAGTTTAGATAAGTACCATGTGATGAGGAAGACTCCTGTCAGGCAGCTATCACAGAAGGTCGTAATCTTTTATCCCCTTTACTTTTCAGACATATCCAAGGGTCACTCAGCCTGTAAACAGAAATGTTGTAATTTAGGGTGCCACACCTTTACCGTCCTGTGTGGCTTCAAGTAGCATGGATCGTCATGTAACTATCAGGATGAATCTTAATAAGTTTGCTTCCCAAGATGTCCCCAAATAAAAGCTTCTCAACGAACCGACAGAGCTGCAGAACACGGCTCAAGCATGAAGTAACGTCTTTCCTGAACGTATGACACTTTAAGTTTAAGTGTGTTTTCCTCACAGCGAGAGAGCTGCCACAGACATTTGGCACTAAAGAACCTTCGTCTGACTGATAATTCACTCGCCCACCCACCAACCTGATGGTTTAAAAGCGTTGAAAATGTCGGATTAACTTCGGGCTGAAGCTCTAATTTCTGACTAATCGTCTGTTAAAAGTTATGTGGGCAGAAACTCAGACAGAGAGAGAGAGAGAGAAACTTTTAATTGTTGGATTCTTGGAACCTTACTGAAGAGCTCGATAAACACGTTAAGACTTATGACCGTGATGTGTTGCTAAACATTGCCCTGTGTGATGTACGCTCATTATAGCCTGAGAGGTTGAAGGAGGAGAGGCAGGCTTGGTAGTGACAGCCCCCCCCCCCTCAGTCAGCATGCAGCTCAGCCTCCCACTGTGAAAGCGCCTGCAGAGCGCAGTTTAAGAATGCCTGTGAAATTTACAGGCCTCCGTGTTACAGGAGGTGAAACCCCCGGACGCTGCCCCTCAGGACGACGTCCCTCACTGAGGTCACACGGCTAAATCACAGAGGAGCACAATAGAGGGACTATGTGACCACAAAGGAGACTCTGTGTCCTGTCAGTCTCTGCAGACGTACACTTGAGCAGCATGGTTTCACAGACCATCGAAAAGCCTGAATGTTACCTTTGACCTCACCCAGCAGGGAGACACTCAGAGCTTCCCAGCGGGAGTTTGTTGATCCAAAACCTACACCTACCTACAGCTGCTACTGCTTTTACACCCCCATGTGATGTGTGACAGAGTTTAGGGTTGTCACATTTTTTGAAACTAGTAAAAATGAAACCATATCGATACCAGTTTTGAATCGGCTGCAACAAAAATAGAAGTTATAGACACCCATTGTCGTTCAATTTCATGCATTTGATCAACAAATATTGCAAACGTTTCTGTGCAATTAAGTGATTTTGATGGTCCTCGTTTAAAAATATTCCATCTCATCATCCAATTTATCCAACCAGTGAATTTAAATGGATCATCGCTGCTCTCTCTCTTTCATGCCAGGAGGAAAGCTGGTGTCAAATATCGATATTTTTAACTGAAGAAAATGTGGCACTCTGAACAGATTTCCCCTTCCAGTTTCTCTCACAGCATCACCTCTTCACGACTCCTAAAGGCGTTGGCTTTGAGTTTGACATGAACTGAAGTTCCTAAGTCTTAAAAAAGGTTGACAGCCGCATCATGTAAGACAGCAGAACGAGATGAAGCATGGTGAGAGGTGAAGCTGAATCCAAATGTCGGTGAATAAAAAAACATTCAACCTAATCAGATATTGTGGTGCATCATTGTATGATTGTTTTTGCAATTGGTCGAAACATGGCGAGTTAATTAGAGTGATGAAAGTCAGAACGGGCAATAGGTGAAAAGATTTGGGAGCAGAAAAGGGCGCCAATAAAAATCCAGCTCCCTGAAGAGAGCCTAAATTCCCATCATCAATACTGTCAACATCTGAGCTGGAAACATACAAACTGTGACGCTCCAACCAAAAACAAACCACACAATTATCTGTAAATAGCAAATATCTCATATCAGACGTCAACACCGAAGAGAGAGAGGAAGAGAGCGAGAGAGGGATCAGGGTCATGGGAAAGATCAGCTGAGGACACGAGCAGCATATGGACAGACCCAACATAAACACACACACACACACACACTCACACAATCCCTCCCTTTACCTTCACGTAGGCGGTGAAGCGCTGGCACTCCTCCCTGTCGATCTCCAGGCTGAGCTGCTGGCTCATCTGGCTGATCTGAGAGCCGCTCTGGGTGAAGTAGACCCGGGAAGGCTGGCTCTTCTGCCGCTTATCCACATCAGCCGTCAGGTTATAAAGCAGATCTGAAAAGAGTGTTAAGACTTCCTGTTAACTGACAGCGGCGGTTATCGGAGTAAAGATAATCTGGAGAAACACTTCAAGTATGCAAGGGTTTGGTTTTCTGATGATTGCCGTCAAAACATGGGGTGGAAGAGATGAATTATTGCGTATGAATGAATGTGAGTCAGAGGGAAGACGGGAACATTTTTCTGGTCGAATCATCTGATATCACTTTAACTTTTAACAAGAGCTCTTTGTGTCGAGTTGTTTATGAAAGATTTAACATCATCGTTTTGCTAAATCTTTCACCCACAGGCCAGAAAAACACATGAAGAAGAGCTGCGGGGTTTCCTGGCCGAGACAGCAGCAACAACGACAAGCTTCACATGAAGACAAAAAAACAGACCAAGAAAATGTAATTAGTTAGGAAGGCTGTGATCCAATCCTGGTATCAGATATCGGTCTGATAAGGATTCAAATGAGATCTCTGTGACAAGTGTGTTAAGACTCTCTGGTGATGGTTTGAACGCAACAAATCACCTGGAACAACAGTTTGCCATCACCTTCATACAAAGACTGTGAATATCAATGGATGAAGCTTGAGTGATGTCATGAATCTGTGCCTGCAGGGGGCTCTGGAGGAAATCGAGATAATGTTTTTTATGAAAACCTGATGCTGTTTAACATGTTAATGGTTCCCAGTCTCATCCTCACTGTGAGGAATACAGGTGATTAATTAAACACTGGTATCAGATCGGATAGGTATCTGTTTCTGAAGATATCCAAAGCCCAGGTATCAGATCAGTACCGTTCCTGAAAAAGTTGGATTGTTGCATCATTACAATAAATAAAGCAGTTTGCCATGTGCAGACACTGGTTAAATGATCCTTAATGGTTTTATCTTCAAAGCGAATAAAAAGCTCTTATTTAAGATCGTTTTTATTTAAGAGAGTTTTTGAGTTATTACATTCAAGATGTGCTCATAAGACAGAGGGTTAGGATTTACTGCTGACAACCTGATCTTTGACATTAGAAGCTTTTTGTGCAGATTTTATTTTCCGCTTCAGGTGAGCAGACAAGGATTAGCGGGGAAAAAAAGGGAAATTAATTTTCCAGCCGCTGGGCCAGAGGTTGTATTTCTGTGAAAGAAAAACATTTCAAAAACAACATTCCTTGCTGGCTCCGCCCCCCTGACCTTAAGCAAGAGCTCCTTCAAAATCTATTTAAAAATTGAAGAATCGTAAAGCATGATGTCAAACATTACTAACACTTCCAGGAAAACCGTACATGGGGCTTCAGGGCCATTCAAACGCCATCCACTCTGAATGAATCAGCCTCAGTCTGGAGTAATTGCCTCAGGAGGGTGTCACACCGGTAAAACAGTGGGAAGGGTGGCAGAACACACCCCACTTGGACCAAAGCCTCCCTGTTTCCTCCGCTCCAAACAGAGGGAAACGCCATGAGCTCACTCCAGAGGAGGCTTCATTAGAGGAGTCACCAAACACATGTTGCTGCACTTTCCATGCTGCTGTCCAGACGGCTGAACAGAGAGGCTTTATCCCTGAGAGCCAGGACACAGTCATTATGTAACGACAGGGCTCCTGCTCCCCTGGGGTTGGGTTTGGAGGGGGGGGGGGGGGGAGTGTGAGTGACCACACCCAAACACTGGAAACAGGACCGCACCTCAGCACTCAAACAGGCACCGCACCCTCGAGCCAGTCACCCCTGAAGGGTCGGGCCAAACGCACCGATGCAGAGGCCAAAGTGCTAACCGCGCTGACTGCCTCCAAGCCTGAGGAGAATTTCTCAGCCGGATTATGTTTACATTTTTACACAACTTAAAAGTTCAAGTGGTATCACTTTCAATCCCTCGAAAAACACAAAATGACAGCTCAAAAGTATGGCTTTAGAAGTTCACTGTGCCAAAGTGCTGGTTTGCCAAGACATACAGCACAAAACTCGAATAACCAGGACTTCCCTCTCAAAGTCAACCGTTCCAATAATCACTTAAAAGACCTTCGATGTGAATTTCAGTGCATAGTTATAAAAAGGTGCACAATCACACACAGAGGTCTCCCATTCTGCAGAACAGACAGTGAACAGTCTCCATGTGATCTGCAGAGTCCCTCTGAACCTTTAAGAAAAAGCTAAAGACCCAGCTCTTTATGAATACCTACTAACTTAATGATGATGGTCTCCATATTATTGATGATGATGATGGTAATGACGATGGTTTTTGTTTGATAATGACGACTTATAAGATGGTTTCTATACTGATTAGAGCTCTCAAGAACTGCCCTCAATGTTGTGCTTTGCCTCTGGTCACTTCCTGTCAGCACCTGTGTGTCCAATCAGACTCAAAGCTGATCGTTTGCTCTTACTCACATTGTTCCCTTTTTTCTAGATCCTTGCTTGTGTTGTTCTTACTCTCTGATGTACGTCGCTTTGGATAAAAGCGTCTGCTAAGTGAATTGTAGAATTGTAGCATGAAATCCTTAGTCAGGGACACTCAAAGTGGAAAGATGTTTTTGTTTCAGTGGGTGACAGCAGTTGGGTCTTTGAGTGATATCACTCACAGTTAGTTTTGATGCCCTCATAGTGAGAATTAGAGGTTTCTCCTGGAGGATTTGTTCTCACCTATCTGCCCGGGCAGCTGTTTCCCCCTGAAGCGCATGCAGACGGTGACATTGAAGCAGTTTTGGTGGTGCTGGCCCTCGTGGCACTGCGGCACAGTGATGTTGATGGAGACCGGCAGGAAGATGGAGACATCCACCGTAATGACAGGCCGGGTCCTACAACCACACAGGAACACAAGAGTGGGAGAAACTGGAGATTAAGACGAGACAGAGGTAAGCAAAGAAAAACAGCAGGTTCACAAAATGATACAGCTACTCACCTCAGCAGCACAACACTGTCTGACATGAACGCTCCAATGGTGACATCTGCAACAAAGACAGGCACACGACTAGATTCAATATGACAGAAATGTAGCTTCTGCTTTAAGCACTCTTTACACCTGCAAATCCAAAACAATGCACAGAGGAGTTAAACTGTCACACAGGCTGAGTCTGAATGTCAGCTGAGGAATGCAGTAAACAAGATGCCTCTATCACGAGTCTCTGCACTGCTGCTGCAAGAAACCATGAGGCTGCAAAACTAAATATTTAACAATCTCTTCCTTTTCCTGTTTGATGTTTCTGTGAAAATGAAACTTTTCATCTCATCTGGTTTTGAACTTACCTGTGTATCCGTTGCTGTCCATGTCCACATCGCCTGAGATCGACTGGCCAAACATCTGCAGACCAGGGCTAACGCTGCGTCCAGACAGTTTCTGTAACAGATGATACCCGCCGTCAGATAAAAACATGTGTGAGCAAACATGGAAGAAAGCGAGCGAGCTAGAAGATTGTGTGATCTGTTTGTTCAAATTCGAAGATACATTTTGCAGCTTTGCATCGCTGATATGTCGGGAGATTTCCTTGGTAGCGTTCTTGCACAGAGTAAGAGCCAGAGCAAAAAACGGAATTAGCTTAGCTTAGCATAAAGGGGACATGTTGTGAATAATCCACTTCTACAGTGTTTTTGAACATATACAGTATTTTGGTAACCTGAGTGTCCACAGACCCACAATCTGTGAAATAAACCCAAATGTGCTCTCCTTGTGATGTCACAGTGGGATTCTGGTAAAAAAAAATCCCTTCCCCTCCCCTTGCATCTCCACCCATGGACTCCACCCCCAGCCTAGAACAAAACTTTTACACAGGTTGGCCATTTTTCTTCTCGCTAGCGAAGGAGGGGGCTCATTACATTTAAAGAGACACACACACCAAAACGGAGTGTTCTGAGAGAGCTGGTTTATACAGGGTCACAAACCTCCTCTGGTGCTTGATTCATGTTATATTTTGACCAAAGCACAGCACAGATGTTTCATTTAGACCACAGGGGGCTGTTTGAAAAGGTGGAGGAGGGGGAGAATATGTCCTCTTTAAAGGCAGGGAAAACTGCTTCCTGTATACATACCATTTTATCCTTCCTTGTCCTAAGTGTAACTATCTCTCTGATTGTATAGTTGAATTTCTTTCTGCAAGCTCTTTTTGAATAATGACCTAATCCGTGCCCTGCTATCACCCCACACGTGCAACTTTATCTGATCAACAACCCTGTCTTCACCTTCAAATTAAATATCAATGTTTGGAATAAAAACTTTAAAACTGCTTCACACAAGCCGACCTCAGGACTGGTGATAGTTTAGATCATGTGGGGAGTTTTTTTAAACTTTCCCACGCAGATCTGCTGATTTCCCTCATTTAAAGCTGCGTGGGTCTTCTTCTGTTGTACTCCTGAGGCTACAACACCACCTGCGACTTTACCACACATTACTCAGCTACCTCAGTATGCAAGGTGAACACATGGTTTCCATCAGCGTTTAGCACGCTGCGGTGAAGCTACAGAGAAATATTATATCTGAAGAAAAGGAGGGAAACAATGATCTTCCATCGCTAACCATGACTAAGCAAGAAACATATCCATCATATTTTAATGTGAGAGATAAAAAAAAATCTTACCATGGAGTATTTGCTGATGATTCCCGTTTCATCGCCGTGGTAGATATAAACAGCTCCTGCGTAGTCGTCCTCTTTAGGGGCTCCGATTGCTACATCTAAAGAAACGAGTAAAACAGTGTTTTTTTTTCATGAGACGTTAAAGAAAATGAGGACATAAGCGACGGCTTGTTTTTTGTGAATGCCTTCTGTTTACTCTCAGCTGGCCAGCGCCTGGGAAACAAGCAGTTACAGTAAGACTCTTAATAGACAATTAAGTGTTGTTAGTGGCCGTAAAAACTTGTGCGACCTCTGAGAGAGTGGAAACAAGACTATAAAGTGCTGGCAATGAGAAAAACAACGTCTCCTTATCCCCATTTCCACAGCAAGTCCATATATAAACGTTCTTTTTATAAACCAAAACACCTCTGGGGTCGAGTGGTGCACATTCCGCAGAAACAGGACAAAGAATGGCTTTATTTGTTGTGTTAATTAAGCAGATTATGAAGAAGCAGAATTAAACGAGACATGTGTTTTTCTGATTTTTCTACAGTAGTTCTCTCAGATTTAAATGGTAGCAGTTTTGGTTGTAAATCACAGATTAGTCAGTGTGGCTCTTCAGACACAGCGAGAGCGACGAGTTGCAGGATGAGTTATGCTTCCCAGCTGCCATCTTTCTCACACACACACACACACACACACACACACACACACACACACACACACACACACACACACACACACACACACACACACACACACACACACACACACAGACACACACACAAAAACACACACAAAAACATGTGCCAGGCAGCAAGCCTTGAAGCGTTTCTCTCACAGTGATGAAACCGGGCAGCAGCTTCCAGTCTGAGAGTTTGAGACAACGAGTGCCAGGAAAAACGACATGTAGATGTACGCCTGTGTGTGTGTGTGTGTGTGTGTGTGTGTGTGTGTGTGTGTGTGTGTGTGTGTGTGTGTGTGTGTGTGGATTATTTGGCGTGTGTCAGGATAACTTGGTGCACAAGCGGGTAGAAGAGGGCAATATTTTTCTATAGATTCCCCCCTTGTTAACTAAACAGAAAGTCTGTGAAAATGGACGCTTGGTTTGGTTGCACCTCCCCAACAGACCACATTTACTCGTGAGAAATATAACATTTAAAATGATTGGTCCTGTGAGGATGGGAGTAAATCCTGAAACTTCAATTATGTCTTCTGTAAAATACGAGAGATTTGTTGTAAAAGTCGGGAAGGCTACCAGAGTAACAGGTTCTACTTTTTTGGTACCCTTCTGTCGGGGTGCCAAGCGTACCTGCCAACCCTAAAGGTTTGAGCTAGACCAATGCAGTCCGTTGATTGGTCGAAAGAATCGTCTCTTCCTGTGTGACAGCGGTAATAAAGCACAAACATAAAATGCACCATGTTCTAAAGTCCTGTGGATTTGGAGAGAGTCTTCAAGGCTGTTTTTATACGATTGGCTGTGGAAACGCAAGAAATATCAGGGTTTACCATCCAGCAGTTCCAATATGGCGACTGCCATCATCTGGTATCAAAACTCCGCTTCGGAAGCCAATGGTTGACATCATCACTGTGTTTGGTCTTAACTCAAAAACATGTTTGTGAAATATATCAGGCAGTCTTAGTTATCACAGAACTTTTTACTGACCCTGATATCCATCGTCATCTACGTCTCCGATTGCGGTGATGCATTCTCCAAAGTGTGCATTGAAAGCGTTGTCGCCACTCAAAACACCGGCCTCCTCCATCACACCCTGCAAAATAAATAATAAAAAAGAAGCCACAAGATTTATTTTCTGAGCTGGCAGAAGACAAAAGTAAACTGCTGCAGAGAAATGATTGCCTCTTTTCTCAGATAAAATTCTTTGGCAAGGACTGCAGTCGCTTGCTTTTATCCAAACGATTAAACCACCAAACATGCAGCCGACTTCCTCCCGGAACAACTCATAAATATAAAAGGTACAAACAGAAGCTTGGGTAAAAATAATCTCCCTCACTCCATCGTGCTCTCTGTTTTAATCTGTAATCATGATAACAAACACGATGGGGAAAGAAATCAAACATGAGCGAGCGGAGCAACGATAACGGTAAAGAAATGTATAGTGGACAAAAAAATAAATCTGTGCGTTATGGTTTCATGTTCGCCACACTCACATTGCCCTTGCTGAGGTACACAGACACCTGGCCCTCGTCCGGAGCTGGCTGTGCATGGGAGCCCCCACCAGCAGGTCCGACAGGCCGTCCTGGTTCAGATCAACTGCACACAATGAGGAGCCAAAGTAAGAGCCCATCTGAAACCAAGCCGAGCCACAGAGCAATGGGTCAGATCACAGACACTTCTTCTTCACTTCATTACATTCACATACCAACCACACTCTGACTTCCCCTTTATTATCTGCACCTTTTAAAAGCGGCCGTAAACGTCCTTTATTCCCCTTCTGTAAGGGAAGCATTAGCTGCCTCCCTGGCTTTGGTTACTGCAGCGCAGACGTAAACATCACATTTCTAACAACAGTGCATGTCTGCAATGCATCAGAAGACTTAACCACATGATCCCAGAGGCAGATTAGGTTAGAAAATAATGAAAAAGTACAGTAAAACAAAAGCCTTGATGTAAAATATGTGCTGCAGAGCGATTTGCTGTTTTGCTCAATTGTTATGTTTTCAATGTTTGTATG